TCCAGCGCATGCATACATCAAGCACATACATAAGTACATACAATCATATAAACGTCCATACCCATGCGTTCAAAATAAGCAGAGTTCGTCTACCCCAGCCGAGCCGCGAAGTACAATGCTCAACAGGAACACTGATTGCCTATTGGCGGCCATCGTGAACCATCTTCAACTCCAGGGAGGTGTAGTAGCTAACCGCCAGATCTGCACGTTTGTGTAACGATGTGTGCTATTATTGGACATTACCTCAGGTTCAAGTTTTCTCGTGCTGTAGGGTAGAATTCTGTTTTCATTAAGCTGAATTAGATAGAGATTGGTCAGGGAGAAGTTATAAATTCATTGTAGCAAACAAAGTATCACACATACTTGATCATCACTCGCTCTAGTAGGATAGAAGGAAAGATAGGGAAACGAGAGTCTACTTCGAAGCCCACACCTTACGGTTGAGAGAGGCTTGGCTTACGCCTAAATCAACTAAATCATTAAATTACTGATCGAAGCCCCTGAAGCCATCGAATGAGACCCCATAGAAGTCAACTTTGTCACAACGCAATAGCGGAATACATGTACTTTTATAAATGCTCTTGTTTCCATCTTTTCCCATCCATTAGACCACCGACAATTTCTCCTTATTTTATTTCTTTAATATCGCACGCCCAAACATCTCACCATCCATCTGGTATATCGATTCCTGTATAACATCCTTTTTCCCTTTATCCATTTCATCAGCACAGGAAAACATATGTGGGCAGAATTGATATTAGCCATCAATTTCGCGTGCTCTCATTCAGCTGTAAACGCACATTTACATGATTATGTAAAATGAAGAATCATAAGAGTTAAAATGAGTCATTTGAACAAGGTGGTAGACGAGTGAGTTGCTTGAGTCTTGTTTGGTTAGGGGTGGAGATCAAGTTAGATGACAAATTTGATATGGAGGCGAACTGGTCCGAACGATGCGGTGAATGTAGTGGAGGAGAAGGGAAGGTTATGTCACTTCATGCCAATGAAGGCTGGTATTAAATGTGACATCACATATGTAAATGTGCGTTTGCAGCTGATCGAGAGCACTCGAAATTGAGGACCAATACCAATTCTGCTCATATATTTCTGCTTGTGTTCATGAAATAGCGATTCTTGTTTTGTTCTATTTCCACTGACATACCCACGTAGTGTATTCCGCCATCCTCATCATACCTCTTTGTGGCCTTGTCCGTTTTGTGTTCCATTGCATTACAGCGTTCGATCCACTTGCCGACCCTTCCACTCTATGCACAACTTGCACTAAGACCTTCAGTTTTTTGCGCTCGTCTTGTATATTTGATTATATTGTACATATGATAATGCTTATGCATGCTCCACGGGGATTCTTGAAATATGCCTTGATTATTAGTTGTAATATTATTACTGGCAACACCTTAGTTAGGGGGCGAAATTTTCCCTTTTAGTATTGCACTCAGGGTTAAAAAGATATTGAACTATCAGTTTTGATGTATATATAAACACATCTTTTGGGGGCAGCATAGCTCATGTATTGCTGTTCACCCATATGAACCGATGATTGCTACTCATCCCCTGTTTACAAGGCTGGTAGGCGACCGAGCGCCGTCATTTGCGATTGAAACACGTATGATTCCCGATAATTCGGTCTACACGTTGCTCTGAGATTTCTTTATCGATATCCAGAACGAGCGAAGGGTCATGTAATTGAACGCGTAAACACGAGGTCCTTTTCGTTTCGCTCGGACCAGGACAATCGCATTTTGGTCGTTACAGTACTCTGATATGCCCGTCACTCGAAGAATGAATATGAAGAACAAGGACGTTGACAAAGAATAGCGGAGATCCGACGACAACACTGAAGAATCTCAGCAAATTAATTTTCAAATCAAAACGTTTCTCAACTTTCACGTCAAAAATCCGAACCGCTTGTCAATGCCGCAGCCTCCAGAGCATTGACTACAATAATGCACTGAGATCCCGGAGGGAGCTTCCTCTGCTGCATAGGCTCCTGCAAATCGCGGGGGCACCTATCAATTGTCTGTGACATGTTACACGCATCTTGCCTGGATGTCATGGACGAGGGCACGGAGTCTGTCCGTGGGGGCAATGCAGTAGACAATATCCCTACCCCTTTTCGGCTGCTTCTACTGAGGGGCGGCTGCAGGAGCTGCTTTTGTAAGTGGAGTGGAAGTGACATCTGCATACGAGGGGCACACTTTCACCGCAGTAACCGTCGTTTTGAGGGTTGGAGAATTTTCGGAAGTGGAGATTCGCCTTCCTTGGAAATAATGACCGAGAACCTGCAGCACACAATCTTCCGGAATGGAGAGAAGCATTTCTCTAGCTATTCGTATTTGCCTGTGTCGATTTGGGTGCATTTCAGGTGCAGTCACCTATCACACCCATCACAACGGAGCACTTTGGCCCTGGCATCCACAATCCTGGAGCAAGATACACACGTGTTCTTAGAAGCTTCGCTTTTTTGAGACATTTCTGAATGAATAGATCCAGTTAAGTACACAAAACCACAATAGAATAATCCAATTTAGCACACGGTGGAAGAACCGGCGTGCCGCAGACAAAGGTCAGGTGAAGCCATTTCGGCGTGGCTTAGTCAACGACACGCCAGCGATAAAAGTCCGCGTGCAAGACAATGACCGGTGGCAACCGGTGCGTATCGGTCGTTGCGACTAAAGATGGAGGGAAGGACACACGTGCGAACATGATGGAGAACGGAACAGAATTGAATAACACAAATTTTACCCGTAGCTCTCTTAAAAATGATCACACAACGCTCAATAGAATCTCGTTGAATAGAGCGTAGAATTTCCTTCAAAATAATATCAAAATGGGGGTAATGCGTGGAACTTTGAACGAGTTTACACGCGTGAAAAAATAGATAATTCGCTCTGAACAACCGAACGGCGGAAACATGAAACACGTGGGTGATAACACTCAATGTAGCTCACCGAACTGAGTTCAATGAGTTTTGACTCGACGTTGTACGAGTTTTGACACAGAAAATCCACTGAAACCGAGAGCACACAAATTGAGTGACCGCACACGAGATGAACACATAACAAGCGACAAAACAATAAAAATTCTATTAGCGGAAACGAACGAGTTCTCCGATTGTTACTGAAGCATTACCCGTCCATAATATGTTACCGTCAAGTGGTATGTTAACGGTTGCAGCTTCACCTCGCATTACGGCGTTTTCCACACTATAAGCACTGACAGAGGTGCTCAATTCCAACCTACGCTCTTTCGTGATTTCACGCGACTGAAAGTTGAACGCTTTCACTGACAACCAAAAGCCTTCCTTTGCGCTCACCTCACTGGGCCGAACATCTTCCGTTCACCCTCCAGAGCATTCGCTTCTTCATCAAAGAAGAACTCGGATGTACGGCGAAAGACTTAGTTTACGGAACTACTTTTCGCCTACAGTGATTTGCTTCAAGCCCCACCGTCAACTCCTGGTTCTCCATCGACGTTCGTTGAACGATTACGAGTCCATATATTGCATACAAAACACACTTCAAAACACCATCACATAAAGACTCCAACCTCAGGCCTCCCATCAAGTCAGGTTTTCCATGCAGGTTACGGGCTTACTTACCACATACTTGCCACGCTTGATTGACTTTCGCATTTGAACCACAGTTAATTTTGAGTAGTGTGTGTGGAATAATTGACTGGCGTAATGGTACCACACGCCCTCCATGCGATGAGTTCGGAGTTCAAGTCCCGGAAGCGATGGTGGATATGCAATAGTAATGAACTCTAATAAGAGTAAAACTCGAGTTTAGTGCTTCCAAGTGTATAGTTGAATCGATGAACTGAGGATTGTGTCCGAAAGACAGTCAGTCAAACCAACCAATATCCAATATCCATCTTTGATCTAAGTGTCTCGGCGAGACGGCATGGCAAAGCAGATCATCATCATTCCAACGCAGCTAGGAACGGTGAACCGAACTTGGCTGACACTACCAAGATCACAGTAAGAACAAGGAAAGCACGGATGTGTAAGTCGGACTTTTCAAGTATTCTGACCTCGCACAGAATGAAAAGAATCTCTTCGCTCACTGTTCCATGACATGTTCTACAGTATCTCCAACTAAATTTTACTTGTATATAAAAAATATACGCTTAAGGACCAGGTCAAGCAGACGACCTCTAACCTCGGAATGACAAACCCACCTTCTGCATCAAAATACATAAAAACTAACGGTTATGAACCTTTCACAAAGAACTGGCTACACTGTGGCAGGTTAAATGCTATTGTCTAGCATCAAGTGAACTGCGTATTGATAAGAAAAGGAGCTCGATCCTTGGATACATGTTAAGCCACCTTTCGAAGTGACAGTCGTCAGCTACGCGACTGCTAGGATAAAGGGAGCAATTAGTTAGTCGACTCACGATCGTCAAGCTTCATGAGGGTACCCAGCATAAAGACCGCTTGACACATGCTGACACCACCCAACCGTTTGTACCGTTAAGTGCACTTATACGGGCTGGAGAGCAGAGCTTTGACGCGATGCGCATGAGCGGGACTTCATCGACCACATCAGAGACAGAATCCCAACATTATGCAGGGCTGGGTGACGACCCGTAGTCGCCACCATGACAGCGGCCGTGTCACCCTGCCTGGGTCTCGACAGAAGTGCAGAGATTCACTCGAAATTCTCCGAACGAGTAACGCACCAATTACAAACGTGCCCAGACACCCAACCACGGGATCAGTACTTTGCCGGTCTGTTCAACCACATGCACCTACCGATAGCCGCATTTGGACTTCTAGTAATAGCACCAACCCAGCCAGATCATCTGCGGACAAAATGCCGACCGATACGCACACGAACTAGTCTTAACACTACGAAGGTAAGTAGACTACTGAGGCTATGACGACGCAACCCACCACCGCACCGGTTAGAGCAAATGAAGTCAGGTGGGCAAAGAATGGAACGATTTATTTAAACAACAACAATGAACAAGGAAAATTAAGCTTCTTCATTTTCTTCTTCCTCAAATTCACCCTCTTCCTCGGCCGTGGCATCCTGATATTGCTGATACTCGCTAACCAGATCGTTCATGTTAGACTCGGCCTCAGTGAATTCCATCTCATCCATACCTTCACCGGTGTACCAATGCAAGAAAGCTTTGCGACGGAACATAGCGGTGAACTGTTCCGAGACACGTTTGAACAATTCCTGAATAGCGGTGCTGTTGCCGACAAAAGTGACCGACATCTTCAGTCCACGAGGTGGTATGTCGCAGACCGCAGTCTTCACATTATTCGGAATCCATTCCACAAAGTAGCTCGAGTTCTTATTCTGCACATTCAACATCTGCTCGTCCACCTCTTTCATGGACATTCGACCACGGAACATGGCGGCCACAGTCAAGTAGCGACCGTGGCGCGGGTCACACGCAGCCATCATATTCTTCGCGTCGAACATTTGTTGGGTCAGTTCGGGCACGGTCAACGCACGATATTGTTGGCTTCCACGGCTCGTCAACGGTGCGAATCCGGGCATGAAGAAGTGCAATCGGGGGAAGGGAACCATATTCACGGCCAGTTTGCGGAGATCGGCATTCAATTGACCAGGGAAACGAAGACAGGTAGTCACACCGGACATGGTGGCGCTCACCAAATGATTCAAATCACCGTAGGTGGGAGTGGTCAGTTTCAAGGTGCGGAAACAAATATCATACAAAGCTTCATTATCAATGCAATAGGTCTCGTCCGTATTCTCTACCAGCTGATGCACGGACAGTGTTGCGTTGTAAGGTTCTACAACGGTATCAGATACCTAAAACGATGGAAGTTAAAAGTCACCGTAAGAGCGTACAAGATGAATTACCTTTGGTGAGGGGACCACAGAGAATGTGTTCATTATCCGATCGGGATATTCTTCACGGATTTTGGAAATCAACAGTGTGCCCATTCCTGAACCGGTCCCACCACCCAAAGAGTGAGTCAGTTGGAAACCTTGGAGGCAATCACATGATTCAGCCTCTTTGCGGACCACATCGAGAACAGAGTCGACCAACTCGGCACCTTCAGTGTAATGTCCTTTGGCCCAATTGTTTCCGGCTCCACTTTGTCCGAACACGAAATTGTCCGGACGGAAAAGTTGACCAAATGGACCAGCCCGTACGCTATCCATTGTACCCGGTTCCAAGTCGACCAGAATCGCTCGTGGTACATATTTTCCACCAGTGGCCTCGTTGTAGTACACATTGATACGTTCTAGTTGCAAATCAGAATCTCCGTGGTATGTCCCCGTAGGATCGATTCCGTGCTCATCGGAAATCACCTCCCAAAACTACAACACAGTGAATATTACAGAAATAGGAAGCGCTCACTTTGGCTCCGATCTGATTGCCGCACTGACCAGCTTGAATATGCACGATCTCACGCATGGTTGTGAATAGGTTGAACGAGTATGGAGGCGATGCGAACAGTCAAAATTTATAAGCGACACTATGGTAACGAGCGTATCGACTAGCGACGCGTTAAAACAAAAAGGTCTGCAAAGAAAGTGAAATCATTTTGTTTTTAGTTAGAATAATTTTCAAAGGCCTATTATTAGTACTTACTACTCTGAAGGCATTCTCCAATCTTTTCGTCACAGTGCTTGAGGCACCTGCGTTACACTCATACGGTTTAATATTTGAGCGTAAAGCTATATTATTGTGCTGATTCTTATTTCTCTTGTGACCATTAATATACGGGCCTGAACACTGTTCGATGATTGAGCAATTTTATACCATAAAAACTGATGGCAAACACTTTGAAAACGAGGGATGCAATACCACGACCTGCGACAACGATCCAATCTCTAATTCTCCTGTGTTTCTTGATTACCCGGTATGAATCAGGAAGAACAATCGGTTAGTCAAGGGAGAGTGTGTTGTTCCCTGAAAGTACCGGAGTTTACCCCGACTACAATCAAGAGTATCTGAGAGCACGAATGCGTAGCAAGCGACGGTGTAGCACTGATTTCACGCACCGTGTAAAGTGAAGCAACTTCACCTGAGTCTGTCCGTGGGGGCGATGCAGCAACCACTAGTCTTACCCTTTGTCCTGGAGCAGGATACACACGTGTTCTTAGAAGCTTCGCTTTTTTGAGACATTTCTGAATGAATAGATCCAGTTAAGTACACAAAACCACAATAGAATAATCCAATTTAGCACACGGTAGAAAAAAACGGTGTACCGCAATCAACCATCCGTAAGTTTGAAGTTACTTCACCGGAGGTGTCAGTGATTTAAACAAAGAGTAAAGGGTCACCTGAAGATGCAATCTCAGGATATCGAAGATCCTGGAGGTGAATCTATGCTACAAAGGAGAAGGATGCACGAGCGAATGCTCTAAGCAACCAATGCCTGCAACCATGCGAAAGCATACATTAGGAACAAGCAAACCAAAGGTGGTGACAACTCTCGAGCATGCTACACTGTCGGTCTCAAGGCACTACCTACTACTTCTCACTCTACGTGGAACCTTCCCCTCTTGCATTTTGTTGTTCCTCCACACTAAGTCCACTCCTTTGGTCAACGAGTGTTTGCTTTCACTTTCCGCACTCTTTATGGTGCTTCCGTATCTTTTCGTTTAGCATTGCAGTTTGACAAATCAAACAATGCTACTTAACCTGGCTAATTTACATCAGCAAAGAACACTTCCAGCACTGGGAACGCAGCATCAACATCTGTATCCCGAACTAAAATCATTCCAAATTATGTCCACCCTATAAACTTCTTCAATAAACTACACCCTCCTAAAACACCTGAAAGAAATAATGAAAAGGTGTAGAAATGTGTTTTAATTGANATTTGTGAAAATCCTTCCTGTAAAGCCCAGTCATTCCATCTCGGTTCCACATTTCGTGAATTTTACGTTCCATTCACCGAATATCATCCACCTCACATAAATATAGACATTTGACGTTCCACTCCCCTTGTATATTTACACATCTATCCTACCATTTGACTTTGTTTGTTTATCTGTTTCAATTTTTACCCTACT